ATCTATGGAGAGAACATATAAAAAAACACAATAGTGTAATACAGTATATACAGTGGATCGTGCACTTTAAATGAAAGTGTTCTTATTATAGCCCCTCACAAGATGATGAAAAGAAGAGCGTTCATAAGGTGCCTCCCCTGATAGTATGAGGGGCTAGTGGTTCCCCTTGCCAATGCAGAGCAGCCAATGGAACACAGGACTCCAGGTAAGTAGTAATCAAAAATCCAATAATTTTATTTTCTTTAAAAGGTGAAAAACACCATAAAGATAAAAATTTAAAATGCAGCAATAGGTCCAACGTGTTTCGTTCAAACAAGAACTTCCTCAGGGACCGCACAATAAAAGGTAACATACAATATCACAAATTGTAAAATAATGCCTCCTACTCCCCCCTTAACATAATCCCTATAAACAGGGCTAGTCCCAATGTCCCATTGGTCCATAATGTAGGAGTTTTCCAATAGCCAGCTCTTCATTGGTCCTGGGATAGCTCCTTCCAGCTGATAGTATTTTCGGCATTTGTATGATTCAAATTTGGGCACGTTCAATGAAAAAGACGAAACCGGAAGTAGACATGATCTTTTACTTCCGCGTTCCATTTGCATTCCAAATGCGTTCCAAGTGCGTTCCATCTCTCTATCTTAACCACATCAACAAGGAGCAACAATACAAGTGATCCCACAAACGGCTAAGTAGCCAAAAGATAACAAATTGACTTAATACAATTAATCTCTAAATTAAAAAAGAGAAATGGGTTAATGTCTTAAATATAAACAACAACAATATCAAAATAGCCCCTACAAAACTAGGGCATATATTTTATAAGTGTATAAATCAATAACCTACACCATTTCAGAATTCAAAACTGTCTATTTAAAGTGACACACACGTCCTTACTATATTGAGAAAACATAATCAATTCTTTATTATAAATGTTCTCTCAAGACATCAAATAATTCTTTATAATATATAACTTGATTAGTACACATATCTGCATTCGAAAAAGCAGACAACAAATCTTCCTTTTTTATTTTTTTATAATGTTTTTATTATTTATATTTCTAGAAATACATATGAAATAATTGCAAAGAGAGGGAGAGAAAGACCCAAGAATCAATCCAAGAAACACACTAGATCAATCCCAATATTCAAACCCCTGGGTTCAAGGGTCTTGAGTTTATGTATCCAAAAAGATTCCCTTTGGGATAACTTTTTGACCCTATCGCCCCCACGCCAGAATGGAAGAATATGTTCAATGCCCACACAACTAAATTCTCTAAATGAAAAAAGGGGACAATTACTACAAAGGGCCGAAACCGAATGGGTAACCAGTCCCTTACGAATGTTGTTTAGATGTTCCAAAATTCTAACCTTCGGGGTACGTTATGTTCGACCCACATATTGTTTGCCACACGGACACTGCAGTAAATATACTACATGGTCCGTGTGGCAACCTATCTCTATTTTGATCTTAAATGTTTCCCCTGTAATTTTACTGGTAAATTCCTTAGTTTTTCCCATAAGGGCAGTGGCACAAGCTTTACATGAACCACATCCCCTAAAGCAACCTGAAACAAGGGTTCTATTTGATCTGTTTGTCTTAATAGCATAGCTAGGGGCTAGCATATTTTTTAAGTTCCTATTCTTTTTGAAAATCACCAAGAAGGCCAAGAGATCGAATTTCTTTTTCTAAAGTGTTTTTATTATAGCCCCTCGCACACAGTTTATTTTTTATGTGGGAAGATTGAATCTGAAAATCTTGAGAACGAGAACAATTGCGTCTAAGTCTGGTAAATTGACTTCGCGCTATACCCCTAAGCCAAGGCTTATGGTGGCGGCTTCGTTGATGTACGAAGCCGTTACCATCCGTTGGTTTAAAAAAACATTTAGTTTGAATTTGACCCTGGTCACAAAAAATTTCAAGATCCAAAAAGTGGATCTCATTCTTATTCCACTCCGGGGTGAATATTAAATTGTATAGATTGGAATTGAGGTATTGAACGTATTCAAAAAACTGGTTGTAGACCCCTTCCAAATGATGATCACATCATCGATGTAACGCCACCAGAGCACCAGGCTCTCCCTCCAGTCATGCCTCGACCACACGAATAATTCCTCCCATCTCCTCATATAGGTGTTGGCATAACTGGGGGCGAACCTGGTGCCCATGGTGGTCCCTGTGGTCTGTAGATAATATTGATCATTAAAAAAGAAAAAATTATGTTCCAAAATAAATTTAACTGAGGTCAATATGAATTCTTTATGACCTTGAGACAAATCCAAGTCTTGGGACATATAGTAATCAAGAGCCTCCAGTCCTAGTCTATGACTAATTACCGTATACAGAGAGGTCACGTCCAGCGTGGCCCAACTGTATTCGGAATCCCATTCTATACTGTCTAGTTCTTGCAGAAAAGACTTATTATCACGTATAAATGATTTGCTTGACAGCCCTGCATCCAATTACGTGCTGTCCTGTGTAGCCGAAACACCCATTCAGTGTGGGAATCTCTCCCTGTCTTTCGAAGTTCCCAAAACTTTTTCCGATATGCCTCTGGGGTTACAGCGTATCTAGCCAACAAAATGTCCTTTATTTTCTCATAATTATGTATGTCCCCATCCGGTACCACCCTCAACGCCTCTGCTGCTCTTCCTGCTAGTTTGCTGCTCAGTACTGCAGCCCATTTTGTGGAGTCTAATCCATCCAGCGCACATTGACGTTCAAAGTCTTGCAAATAACTGTCAATTTCCATTTCATTGTCATTAAAACTTTTAAACGCTGCATATTTTACCTTTCTAGGTAGATCATTGGCACTTCCCGGGGAGTGTAGCAAATCCCCCTGCTGTAGCGGTCTGTCTGAGTCCTCTCGCTCTTTTTGCGATTGTCTGGCTTGTACCATGACCTGCAGAACTGCTTCCGTTGATGGATTGGGTCCCAATACACTGAGCATCCATCTGATGTCTTTCTGCATCTCAGTTTCTTCCTCGTGCTCCATTTCTGTATTGCTGGTTCCGTCGCTCTGTATTAATTCTAATTTAATTAACGTGGCTTTTGTCTTGTTACTTGCCACTACGCCTCGAGCTTCCAGTAAATCCTTTAGCGTGGTTCTTTTAAGTAGCTGGTAATGCTGAGCCATTCATTCCCTTGCTTGGTTCAGGGCGTCCATTCGGGATTCGAATCTCTCCCCTTGCCACCAGTTGTAAGGAAACCAAGTGTATTTAAACCTCATTCGGTAGTTTCCTCCCGAACCGCCAGAGCTATCTACCGCCAGAGCCTTAGTGATTATAGCCCTCTGATCGGTAGATAGAGTAGACAAACCCTATAGTAATTCCAATAGCTTGATGATTCCCTTAGTGAAACACACGAATCCCCAAACAGCAGCCGAAGTCAAGAAGAAGGGTACAAAATGAACTAACTTTTAATGGGTGCACACAGCTTTTATGCAAGTCCCAATGCAAGGGGGCAGGCCTCAGGGAGGGACAAATATTCACCAATCACATGCTGTAAAACTTTAACACACACCCACAGTTCCCTCCCCTAGCCCTGGAGATAATTCAGCCTGATAAAAGAATAACTTAATTATCTCCGGGCTGAAAAATCACTTTTTTCCCCAATAACTGGAACACCCCTTTATACATGGGGTATTCCCACAATTAACATGTCCCCTGATAGCCCTGACCTGGGAGACCAACATATCCGAATTTCACCCAGATCGGTTCAGGGGTTCGCAAAAACTATGGAGGTCTTCTGTGACCGGCTCACCCTGGGCTGTATGCCCAAAACAGTTCCATGAGTTTAGTGGGTTTTGCCGGTCACTTTAGAAATAGGATAAAACTGAACAAACTACCGAATGGATTCCCCTGGCTCTTAGCAGCGATTGTTCCCCTCTGTCGAATGCACCAAAGTACCGAATAGCGCTCTTCTAGCTATTCGGTAAGTAGAGTTCCAGCACTCGTCGTTTGGGACAGGTGTTTGGGAAGTCGAGTGTCCGATTTCATTTCCATACACTCGACGACCAAGTCCCGCTGCCTTTGTTCGCATGAACAAAGATGGCCGCGGTTTTCTCTGCCACGTTGCATTCGGTAGTACGAACGCTGGCCACACAGACAGAGGCAGGCCTCAATTGAAGTAGTCTTTGATGCTTAATGAGCCAGGGGGTGGTCTTCGGTAGGTACATCTACTGAATGCAAATAGGTAGAAATAGTATATAAAAATGGGAATTTCTTCACAATCTCCAAACTCAAAAACTCACATTTTTACAAAAACCCCAAAGTACCTCAAAATACACAAAAACAAAAGTTATATCCCATATAGCCCTGATCTGGGTGACCAACATATCCAAAAATTATCCAGTGCAGGGGTTTAGGAATGTCTTAGAAGTAATTTATTTGACCGACCGCAGGCATGACCCCATGCCCAAAACCGTTCCAGAGAATCAGGGCTTGCAGACGGTCTAGTTGAGTAGTTTGAAAACGGACAAACTACCGAACAGAGTCAATAGTCTTACCCTGGAGCTTGTTCCCTTCACCCAGACGAATGATTTCACAGAATAGTGCCCTTCTAAGTTGTATAGAACCGAAAGCAGGCGATGATGGAAGTCCAGCGGTGTTCGGGAGTTTCTGTGTCCGATTTTAGTTCCATTAGATTCATGCCCAAACACTACCGCCTACGGTCATGCAAGCAAGATGGCCGCCACCTTGTTTTTGTCCATAGGAATTGCGGACACCCAGACAAAGAATTAGAACAC